GACGCACTAAGGAGCAGATCCTGGAGCTGCTGATCCTGGAGCAATTCCTGGCCAGCCTCCCCCCGGAGCTCCGGAGTTGGATCCAAGCCCGAAGGCCGGATACGTGTTTCCAGGCGGTGGCCTTGGTGGAGGACTTCCTGATGAGTCAACAGGAGGCCAAGTCAAGGACATCTCAGGTGGGTTTTACTACCCAAATCCTCAAGTTCCTAACAGGTGCTCGTATTGAATAACCTCCATTTATTAATTGAAAACTGAGAACACTGAATAATTTAAGGTGTTATTTTTTAAAATTATTCTAAATAAGAGTATGTCTGCAGTATCTATCTTTGTACCATCATCAATATAGCAATTATTAATTATAACCTACTCAATTTCATAATAGTCAAATAATGTTATATTTAAACAATTCATTTCAAGAAGTTATATTTATTACATCCTGTTAAATTTCACTAATTTATGAGGAAAAAAGTATGATTTTTCTCTAAGCAGCCTACGATGATGACAACTATTAAATATATCATAATTGCTACAATCATATCACAAATATAAAACTTTAATACACTTTCTAGAGCTCTGCAATGCAGTTCAAGGTTGACCCCTTGAATACTGAACAGAAGTTGTGGGTACAAACTGTCAGGGGTAGCTTTCCTCAGTTATGTAACCACAGTTTGTGAGCAAGCCACAATTAGCTGTGTAACATCCTAAGGCCCAGACTTCTGAACTACAGTGGCTGAGCTCTCATGGTAACCAGTGAGCCAGTGCCAAGCAACCATGTATTGAATTTGCACAATTCAGCCGTGGATTGGTTGTAAGCCACCCAGGGTTATGGTGCACAAGGTGGGCAGCTATAGAAGTCTTTTAAATAAATAACGGGTGTTAATGCAGTAAAAGTGAGACTGCTGCACATCAGATATATCCTGGTGCTGGTGCTGTGGACTTGGCAATCTTATCCTTATAATTAGGTAGCTAATTGACTTTCAAAGAACCTCATGAGAAAAAAGAGCTGCTGGGATCTCCTTTTTTGCTGAAAAATCAGAATCAGTGTTACTTTCTGAGCCTCTTTCTCCCATTGTAAAATTCTGTTTCCTGTTTCAGGGGCCGTTAAAAGAAGAGCCAGTGGATTTCCTAGTTGCAGAGAAAGAGCCCCTGAATGCCGCAAAGGGACCAGTCTACCGTGAAACTGAGCCAAATGTGGATGCCAAATTGCTGGGTCAGAATTCAGGAGCTCTTAAATTTTCCTCTACTTTTCCTTTTGTGAGTTTTTGGGATGACCAGATGAGTAAGGGGGGGGGGCAAGATTATTTCTACTTCATCAGCCTTGTGGAAGAGATAATTTGGGAAATGTAGCTTGATGGTCAAGGACTAGAAAAGCTGCACCAGCTAAGTTCTGGAAAAGTGAATGCACATATGTGCTGTCCTTGCATCTGGTCAGTTGTGTAAAACTTTGGTAATGATGTATCTTAGCAATAGCCATGTCTGTATCTAAGCATTATAATCGGAATCCTTCTCAATATTTAGTCCTTTAGCTGGCCCAGTTCATCTTTCTGAAGACTTTTCAGAACAACAGTCTGTGCAAAATCATTGACGTAAACAGTGCAGCACCTAAGCTGGTCGGTTAATTTCGGTATATACTAATGTTACCTCTCTATGAAAGGGGGCTAATTTAGGGTAGTTAGTTTTGGTCAGCTACCTGATCGGAAGAGGCTATGAACAAGGCCCAGCAAAGAATGTTAACAAAAAGCCTCCTTAGAAATGGGGCTGTTAGCCCTGCGAGGTAGTCCAGACAAGAAGTACAACTGTGAGGACTAAATCTATCTTTATGCTAAGGTTACATTAACAGAATCTTGCAAGATCAAAAGTGTTTCTCCCCTCCTCTCCTTTTACTCTCCAGAAAACTAGGGAGAGTCCCTTCTGAAATGTTTCCCATGGCTTCCCTCCTCCTGTGGGCTATCTCTTACACACCAGTTGCCCAGTCTGCAGTTCTCCTTCCTGTCTCCGAAGATCATTCCCACATACCATTATAAGAACCTCCTGAATCCTGAGCAACTAGAAGTTCTTGGAGATTTCGGTAGAGATTTCTCCTGCCATTGATTTAGAAACTGCTTCTCCATAGAATTCGCCTCCTGCCCTCTTTTACATTTTTTTAGCGATAAAAGACTTCCTATTTTGAAATTCCCTACTGAAATCTCTTCTTTTGTTCTTCGTAGGCAATGGCTTCAAACCCCCAGGTCTCTCTCCTTTGCCATTTCCTCCTGAAGGAGAAGTGGGCCAGACTGGTGGGAAAGAGGTACGCATCATGTTATATCTATTGTGTACATAGATGGTAGTTTGTAGACATCAGGGCACTTGTTTAAAGGGAAACAAAGTGTTTTGAGGAAACCTGCAGCTTTGCCTTAACACTGTTTTTTCTGCAGAATCTGACAGGATGGTTAGTTTGTTAGATGTGCAGTCGGCCTCAGGGAAGTGGGTGTGTCTTTGCTGATAGTAAGTCAAACCACAAAGTATTAAAGGCTTTGGTGTCTCTTGGTATTTGCAGGGACCCAGGGATCTCAAGGAAACTGGAGGGTCTCTGCAAATTGTGAAGCAGTCTCTGACCCAACCAGGCCAACAGACTATGCTCTGGCAAGTCCTGCAGGAGGCTGACAACAGTGCAAACACAGATATTTTGGGTAAGAAAGGCTTCTTCTTGGGTGCAGTACCTTCAACAGATATGGGCAGATCTAATTTGACATTTTTAGAATGGAAGAGAATTCATAGAAAGATGGCTTTCCTTCCTGGAACATTAATGGATGTTAATCTCTTCCCATTTAGTCCAGCTTAAATATAAACCTGGGAGGGTATATGAAAAATAGCCATATTGAATGGTCAGTGATCACCATCTGACCAGGTCCATGCAAGGCTTGGTTCTCCTGAGGGCTGGGAAAGGGCTGACAGAAATGGTGGAGGGTCATCTGCGTGTTTGGGATACTCTGCGTAATGGCCACCAACCGTGACAGTGCCACTGCCACCTCCAGATTTTCAGAAGACAAGGGAATTCAGGAAATGCAGCCTTTGGTGCTCAGACCGTCATATAGTAATAGAGACGTGGCACCCCAGGAATACCATGTGATGGGGGAAGTTCAATTCTCCCCCTCTTGTTATTGAAGTCTCAATACTTCTGGCATTCTGTGGACAGATCAGATGGATTATTGTGCACAGGCCATGGATGTTTGGATCTCAAGGCCCTACTTCTGCTACTGGTCCAAGAATGGTTGCTTATTCACCCATCACTCCTTTTCCACTCATTGTACTGCTACCATTTACAATTTTGAGGAGCTAAGAAGGTGGGAGCAGCTTCTCTGTATCTTGAATATAAACAGAAGACAAACAGGAGGCCTTACTGAGAATGAAGTCTCTAGTCTTCTCAATTTCCTTTCTCTGGGCCCAAAGCATTGGCACTGATATGAGTCGGAGCATTGCTATAGTCCTGTTTGCTTTTTTGTAAGAGTGGGGGAACAAGCTGAAACCTCAGCATCTTTGGCTGAGGAAAGACAAGCTGGCCTTGTAAAAGGTGATTAGCAAACCATGACTACAACGCCTCTTTGTTTCTTCAGGGGATGAAATGGGAAATTACATCAAGGTGGAGATTTCTCAGTGTGGAGAAGCTGAAACAGAGGATACCTGCAGGAAGGCCCCACAGATCAGCTATGACCATGTGCCTGTAAAACGGGAGAAACTAGAAGGAAAATGGGAAGCACAAGAACTACAGGGAGGATCACCAGTTGGGACAGGAAATGAATGTATTGAGCTGGCAGAACTTCATTGGAAGAGATACGAGAGAACTCCTGTTACAAATTCTAGGGAGGGCGGTCATGGGATCCCGGAAGCCCTCCCAACCAATCCACCCCCACCGAAAAAGCCCCGCAACGGTCCAGAGCACAGCGTTGTGTGGGATCACTTTGAGCTGGATTCCGAGGACCCTTGCTACGGCATCTGCACACACTGCAAGAGACGAATCAGCCGAGGCAAGAACTCAAAACGTTTTTCAACATCTGGGTTGCTGAAACATCTTCAGAGGCATCATGCCAACATTGTTCCAGCTGTCATTACCACACCACGAACTGTGTTGCCAACTAGCAGAAAGGCAAAGGCACCTATTCTGACGCAGAATGCGTTGCCACAATGCTGGACAAAGCAGAAGTCGTCAGGCAAAAGGCAGCCTGGTCCAAAGCCGTCCGAGGTGACCCGTGCTATTGCCCAGATGATGGCTTTGGATGACCAGCCATTCAGCATGGTGGAACATACAGGTTTCCAGCACCTCCTGAAGTTGCTTGCCCCCAACTATAAAATCCCGTCTTGTACCACCTTCAGCAGGCAGGTCGTGCCCTCCCTGTATCAGGCCTGCAGGGAGGAGGTCTTGGGGATGCTTCAAACTACAGGACCCCCTGCCAGTGTGAACGTAAGCTCAGACGAATAAGAACTGGCTTCTTCCTTCCTTTGATCTTCGGTTGCTCCTGTGAGCAAATAAGGGGGGGCAACGTTGGTAGGCAGCAGCAAAACCCATTTTAACTCACTGATTAAATCAATCTCAACAGAAAATTGAAATAATAGACAAATATGTCAGCAAAACATCGAAAAAATAAAAACACAATGTGAAATAAACCATGCTTTGTAGAGAAAATGGTTAGAGCATTATAAATGAATCAGTTGCAGTGTCCGAAGTAAAGGGTATTAATATGAATGACATTACCTAATCAGTGGCAAACACAGAAGAAGCATACAAAACCCAAACCACCTGCCCATCTCTATTTAACTAAGTTAAGCATTCCAGTCAAACAGAAGAAGCAAATCATATCTACCCTGCCAACAGACAGTTCAAGATTCTTACATTCTGTTCAGCTGAGATTTAAAAAGCTGGTATTAAAGATTCCCATGTCAGAGTTCAAAAGTATAAAGAAATGTTTAGAAAATTAGGAAAACAGCGAGGCTATGGAAGAAATAATTTCTCCGATAAAGCAGTCAGAATAGAACAATTATTGTTCATCTTTACTTAAGAGGAATCTAAGGTGGTGCTGTCAGCTTCCAGATACCTACCTTAACACCTTGCACATCTGCATTTTCTCACAGACCCTTTTTAGAGACCTCTAAAATACCCTTCTGATATTGCTTATAATCAAATAAAAATGATTGTCCCAATTAAAACAAACTCTATACTGGTTACTCACTAGATAAAAAAGTTAATACTTTCTTCAATCTCTTCCTTAATTGCCTTCTGTTGAGATTTCTTTCTAGGAACCAAGAGTCATACATTTGTCTATTGAGTTTTCTCTTGGCTGAGAAGAAAGTGGTCTATTGGTCCCCCTAGACTTGATATTCAAGCCTTAACCAGAACTTGGAAATGATAAGAATGAAAATTGAAAATAAAGATGAAAGTAATCCTGAAGTTTAATATTCCACTAAGAAAATAAACAAGTGCTGGTTGAATGGATTGGCTAGTAAAATAAATGCTCATTGTCAAAGATATAAAACATAAATATTTATACATCCTTATTTTACCCATCAAAGGAAGACCTGAGATAAAGGATTAAAAATTTCAGGACAGGTTGGTAAAGAAAGTCAAAATAACTGCCTAAAGCAAAATGTATTTAATCTAAAATGGGTTAAAAACGTCTCAACTTTATTTACTTGTCCTTTTTAGTAAAGAACATTCTAATTAGCTCTGTACTGTTTCATAAACAGATCAGGACAGGACAGCTAAATCCTCATATTTTCTTTTCTAAGTGCTCATTTTAAATTTAATTTCTCATTCTAAACTTCCTGTATTAGCCTTATAGCCTTGATTTGTGATTCAAGCAGCTCTTAATGAATCCTTCCTGGACATCAGCCTTCAGCACAGATCTCTCTTGAGGACTGCATCTTTAAGATGGAAATAAAACCCAAAACCCGAATCCTTAAAGCAGGAGTTTGGTTCTAGCTTCAACAAGCCTTGATTCTTGTATCTTTTTGTTTTATTTAAATTTGTTTAGACTTTGCTAATAGAAAACAGAACTTATAATTACATAGTTGCCAACCTGTTCAAACGTGAAGCAAGTATATGAAATACATAAATATACAGTAAGTCAGAATTTGACTTGCATGATTTTGGAGGCATATAAATGAAATAAATTTAATAACATAAATATGCCTATGTCCCTCCATATTAAAAAAAAATGGAATGCCTTAAGATAGGAAAAAAGCAATTAAACAGCACTTGGCTGTGGGGTCCTATTCTAGATAACAAGACTGCAGATAACAAGAAAACATAGGAAAATGTTGTTTATACATGCACAGATGCCTCTTTGCCATTTTGCACACCCATTGAAAAACACATCAAAAACCATGGATAAATGAGACTCTTTGCTAAGGTCAGGTATGTCTTTTTAACGTATTTCAAGTCTGTAGCAAAAATGTTGAAAGATTTTTGGCAGGTGTCATGGTTTAGATTTGGTTGAGAACTGCTAAGAAAATAATAGCACTTATGGAGCTTTTCTGGATACAGTAGTTTTGAGAGGATGCCTATACCTTTGGGGAAGTCGGTGGACTCTGTATTGATAAATCTCTTCTTGTGTATATAATAAAGAAGTCCCACGTACTGGAGGAAAAGGCTTTTCATTTGTTTGTTTGACTTGAGCTCTTAGTTTGTCTGTTCACACCACGGGTGAGATTCATGACAGGTTTCAAGTGCTTTGCAATTTCCACACCTCCTAACAGGAATTATGCCAAATCCGCATAATGTTAAATAAGCGTTTCTCAACCTTGGCCACTCCAAGTTGTGTGGACTTCAACTCCCAGAATTCCCCAGGCAGCCATGTCTCAGATGAGCCCCTCCCTAGTTCATTCACAGATGGAGGGAGCAGCACATTCATACCGGCAAGACGTCTATCGGCCTTGGTGTCTTAGTCTGGCCTACCTGGTAGGGCTGACAAACTTCATCTTGGCAGACCAAAGATCCTGTCTGCACTCAATTATAGACACTCACGCATAGCTTGGGGTCAAACACAGCCTGGATTTACCCGCCGTGGTGGGTTTAAGCAAGGATTGTTGAATAAGTACTATTTACTTGAGTTTACAGAATGGGGTGAAGATGGACGACCTTCTGGCTTGTCCCAGCCTGCAATGCAATCAGGCTGGGGGGATTCTCTGCAAAATTGGGCTCAGCCTTTCCCTCCAAGCTTAGAAAATGCCAGGGAGGGCGGAGGTTGGCTGCAGGCAACTCGTTGCTGTCCACCCGCTCGCAACGGGGCCGAAGAGGCTTCT